GGAAGAAAGGAAGGAAGGAAAAAGGGAGGGAGTTTGGGAGGAAAAGAAGGAAGGAAGGAAAGAAGGAAGGAAGGAGGGAAAGGAAGGAAGGTCTGTCTGTCTGTCTCAATTTGGAGAGCAGGGCTGCCTGCTTCCTTCCCAAGAGCCAGGGTGGGTCCAACTCTCCCCCCCCCCGCTTCCCCTGCCAGACCTTCCCGAGAACAAGGCACCCTTGGCAGGTGTGGCCCCCTCCCCCCCCCTCCGCAGGGGCTGTTGTTGCCATCCTCGCCCTCTCTGGGGCCGCCTGGCGGGAGCTGTTGGGGCTTGACAGAGGCGGAAGCTCCTTTGCGTGCGACCAGGATCGCTGCCATGGCCCCGGGGCTCCTCTCCGCTCTTCCTGTCCCAACACGGCAGGACAAGCCAACATGCACAGAACTGCTCCTCTCTTCTTTTGGGTTTGGGGGGGAGGGCAGGGGGGGGCGGTGCGCACCTCCCTTCCCTGGAAGATGCTCTCCTTTTCTGGGAAGCCAAGCGAGCCCAGCCGCAAACAAGACCCCTTGGAGGATTATGTTCACGCAATGCCCCGAGCCAGAGGGTTTTGCGCGCCCTGATCAATAAACGGTGATTGGTTGCTTCTTCGGTTTCGTTCTAGCCACAATGCTATGACCCAAGCCAAGATTCCAGATTTGTTCTATTTGGAGGGGACGTGAGCGTACACGAGGATACGTCCACTGGGTTGGACTAGATGACCTCCAAGGTCCCTTCCAGCTAGGAGTCTACCCCACCTGGAATCCATGCAGAGGGCCATAAATATTGCAAATCTAAATATATAAATATGTATATCTACATATTATATTACGTATGTATACAGATATGTATATTTCTATCCATCCATCCATCCATCCATCCATCTTCTACCTACCTACCTATCTATCTATCCATCCATCCATCCATCTATCTTCTATCTACCTACCTACCTATCCATCCATCCATCTTCTATCTACCTATCATCTATCTATCCATCCATCCATCCATCATCTACCTACCTACCTACCTACCTATCCATCCATCCATCCATCTTCTATCTATCTATCATCTATCTATCTATCTATCTATCTATCTATCTATCTATCTATCTATCTATCTATATATATATATATATATATATAAAGATACGATTAAAATGAAGCTTGCTTGTTGGTGGTGACCAAACGTGTCCCATGCCTTCAGTCCTTGGTGGTTTATTCCACAAACCAGCTTTAAACAAACCATATTTTAGCATAATTGCACCCAAAAAGGAAAAACACAATGCTTTTTCCTTGAAGGCAAACAGAGGCCACTCAAGAGTTGGAAAGAGATTAAAATTGGAATCCTAAAACTTCACCTCTTTTACAGCTTACGGAATAGCGGTGTTGGAAGGGACCTTGGAGGTCTTCTAGTCCAGCCCCCTTTTGCTCGAGCAGGAAACCTTATACAACCCTATTGTAGAACTATAATTCCTTTTTGTGTGTGTGTGTGTGTGTGTGTGTGTAATGACTTCCATTTCGTTTCTTAGTCCCCACAAAAAAAAATCAGAAGTGGCTCTTCCGCTTAAGGGAGATGCTTAAATTTTATCCTGAAATCCAAAGTTTTCATAAAAACAATTGGTGCGTACACACACACACACACACAAAAAACACAGGTGTGTACCCAATCGGTTTATCTTTTGGCTGGGTTGTTTGAATGACTTGTTTCTTCTCTTCTACAAATTCCCCTCGCCTCCCAATTGCTCCGGGGATCAGCCAAAGGGGGAGAGGGGGGCTAAAGGGAGGAGGGGGCTTTGCTGGGAAGGAAGGAAAGAGGGGGGGGGG